AAACATCAGAATAGGACCTATGTTAATGGAATTCATCTATTGTCTTTGCTAAAAATAATATGTATATCAATGGTTAAAGAAGGAAAACAATTTTTCTGGCACTTATTATTAGATCACAAAATATGAAACCATGTATATCGATGTTCATGGGAGAATATTTAGTCTGGGTGTTAACGTGACTTAATCTTATCCATCAATCAACTTGAACTATCTGGGAAGTAAAATATATTATATTAATATTTTACTTCAATGCACGTTAAATTGTAATCGGTATAACTTAGTGAAGTATGTTTCCTAATTATTAACATCAAAATCATCTCCTATGCCTCTACTTGGTAATTGTCTACCACGGATACACAATATCGGAGAAATACAACGTTTTATATTTACTGCCACGTAACACGAATCATCGATTTTATGTTTTATTTAACAACTCTTGTCTCCTTCGAATTACGTGAAATGTCAAATTAAACCAATCAAAATACGATTTATTTAATATCTTTTAAATATAAAGAATGAAATATATTTTATTAAACTTTTCACGATATATACACTTTGTACCTAATTGATAATGGCCATGATTAAAGATATACAGGTTGCACTTGGATATTCCAAGGGTACCTATAAAAATATATGTTATTCATTTCATTTTGTAGATATTTTCATCAAATTCCTTGGAGGCTATTTATTTATGACACTTAAAGACTTTTTGTTAAGAAATTGTAAACATTTTTTCCTTGCAAATTGTGTATGATTTTAGATTCTGTAGCGATGAATGTATTGTATTTACAAAAATGTGTGTGTTTTTTTCTGTCATCAACATTTGAGGTTGTAAAAATGTTACGATTTTCGACATCAGCATTTTTTCTGATAGAAAAATGCAGTTGATGAGCTTGGGAGATCAGAAAAATTAAGTATTCATAGACATTTTTCGAAATGCTCAGGAAAAACAAAAAAAAGTGAAAAAAGTAGTACCTTATGAAAACATGTTGAAAAATCAATTTTATTTTTTTGGTTGAACTGAAAAATTAATAATTACAATAAAATGTTAATTTTAGTATTTAGCATATACTTATGGTAATATTTTGACTATTTTTGAGGTATTTAAAGTGTTGAGACATTTTTTTTTAGTTATTGTTGATAAATTCTTTTTTTCCGAAAATAAAAAAAGCTTAAAAATGTAATGAAATTGTCATTAAATGATACTTTAAAAGAAGCTCAAAAGTATTAAAGATACATACATATGATTTTTTTTAAATGAATTTAAAGTTAAAATCCATCAAAATCACGAAAATTCGCAAATTATTTTCCTGTTAGAGATTGTTTTTTTTTTCATAGCTAACTTATTAAACTAGGTACCTAATTAGAAACTAGAAGATTCCCTCCATGTTTTCTACCTTTGACGCAAATAAAAGCTTACCAGAATGGTAAATTTTTATAACCATTACTTGTCCACTCTTTTTATATTTTACTTTTTTTTTTTTTTTTTTAATTGATCCTGAGCCCGGCAACTGTGGCCATTAGCTATTAGTAGGTACTGTAGGTTTTTGTATTGATGGTTTGTAGGTTTTTTTGGAACGGTAGGGGGAACACGTGTGTGTTTGTTTTGGCAGAATTTCGAATGGGGCACCCGTAGGTTTCTGCCATGCCCCGGGGTTGGGGGATGGCAGCACTTGCTCTCCGGTCACCTCGACTTGTCCGGAGAAAAATTCCGCCCGGTGGCCGAGGATCGAACCGCGACCGGCTGCGTCGCAGCGGAAGAGTCAGACCACTCGGTCACCTCGTCCCCCTATTTTACTTTTATTTTGCTGTCTAATTCTAAATTATTAAAAACAAAAGTTTATTAACTGCCATACCTGGGTATGGTAAAATATGATTTTTAGTATAGAACTATAATATCATAACATTGTGTTTAGTTATCAACAATTATTATATAGAATTATAATTTAATCGATAAGGTCTAGCTAATTGAAGGTTCTTAAGAAAAGTGCATTAAATACAATTTTCTAAAATTAATCTTATTTTAAAAATAACATTTTCCGACTACAGTCACTTACACATTTGTCATTTCTTATTAGTTATTAATATTTAATAATATTATTATTATTATTTTACTATATTACTTGTAGTAGTTTGTTTAAATAGAAATATTATTGTTCCAGAAAAGTAATTAAAACCGAAGTATTGTTGAGGCTTTGATACTTGTTCCTTTTGTAGTGTTGAACAATACCTGATTACAAAATGATCACAATAATTAATTAAAACTAATTGGTTTTACCTATAACGTATAAGTATAATAACTTTGTTAAATTGTATTTGAAAAATAAGTATCAGCTTTATTCAGCCATGACATGAAACGAATAATCACAAATTAACACAATTATTATGGAAAATGTCAAATGCGTTTCGTTTTATTGCAATCAGTTCTAATTATAAAATAATACAATATTTTAAAACATAATAATGGAAAACTAAGTAATCTGTTTTATGTTGATGAGTTATTGTGGGTTGAACATGTATTTGCTATTATTAGTGAAAAAAGTAAAAACTAGAAAAGCATTATGCGAAACCTTTATAATAGAAATTCACCACGTAGACAACAGACGTCAACGTTTTCTGCATTTCTCATAATTTTCAGTATTTTTCAATACCTAAAACCACGTGATAATGAAGACTGCATTTTGATCGTCATCGGATAAGCTAATGTTTTATGTATAATCGTACTTTGATTGTAGACGTTTAGATTAACACTATACGCACACTAGCTGTAAGCTTCTACTTAAATATATAGTATCGAATTAGGCACAAACATACTAGATACTACCTAGTCGTATTATTATTTACTAGTTACCATACTTACCACATTTTTTCGTCGTTTTTTCAGAGTATAGCTGACAGCTGTCCATGGTTCTGAAACACCAACGAGGCGCAGGAGCCTCATACAGTGACCGGCTATGCGAGCAATTTTTTTTGTTCGGCCCTTAGATCTCAACCTGGTATCAACCGGGATATGGCAGCCGTGGGCCGTCATATTCGTGGGTTTCTGCCGGACAAGTATTGGATGTGCTCCATGGAGACGAAATCGTCCAGATATATGATGCGGTCTTTGAGCTCTAAGGTTTCACCTACGTAAAATACGCAAATAATTTGGTGAAAAAATATATTCTTCTTTTATCCGTCGCTTCTTGTTCTACGCAATCTACTGTTGCATAATATGATAAACACTAGCGTTTCTTTGGCTTAAAATCTACAAGTCCATTGATAACATTGTCCACTGTCGTATTAATAAACCATACTTCATATTATATTATGCTTCACATGTCGATTTACAGATCTACTAAATAAATATAATTACGTAGGTACCTTTATGTATAAAGTATTAACACCAATATCATATAATTCGTCCGTGTGTTCGACGTTGACGATACCTGTAAACGGTTTTGTACAACTATATATTACAATAGTACAGCGAAAGGAAGGCAGAAAGGAAGTCGTGCGTACCCGTCCGATACCCACTAAATAATGATATTGTACATTATAATAATAATAATAATAATAATATATTTCGTAAATGATGTCAGAGGATACCCCGTCGCACGATAGCGTTCTGTCACTGTCGAATTAATCAAACACTATTCCATACACATGTCGTAATACAATAATAATATTATAACTTCGAAATTCGCGATAAATAGTGCCTGTGGGCTTTATTATTATTATCATCGCCGTATTAACTATTATTATAATATAGTCGGCCCGGACGATTAAATCTACGCGTCGTCTCACTCGTCGGACGCGCGGGGGCGTGGGCCGTTTGATTAGCGAGTTCACGATTATTATTATTTTGTTTACCTTTCCAGATTCGAGTTGGTCGATCGTAAATAACACACCATTGTTTAAATAATAACGGACGCTGAACACGCGGACTTAACTCCGCCGTGCCATACTGCCGGACATAAACGCAGCCGCTTCGAACCCTCTGCCATGGTGCCATCACGTCTACATGTGTGTGTGTGTGTGTGTGTGTGTGTGTGTGTGTGTGTGTCAAACTCTGTTATTGTATTATAATATCATAACCCTAGGATTATTTCCATCACAATAAATGTAGAATAATACTCGTAAAATAATACGAATATTAGACCTATCGCGCAATATTCGTAAACACGATAAACTATATTTTCAATGTACACCATACAAACGATATTATAATGTCTGCGGTCGTGCATCCATTAATTATATAATATTGGGCGAAAAATATTTTTGATATTTTTAAAATTTGTAATGTTGAGACTATTTTTGTTTACTCGTATAACGATATTATACGCGTTGTAGAAACTATTTTTTACATACAATTTCACGTTGTGGCCCGAGAAGTAAAGAAATATAAGACAAGAATTTTTTTTTCTTATTTTCGCAATGAAACAGTGGACATAATTATTAAAATGACATTGGTTTAAACAACAAAATAAGTTTGTTATACTTTGTATAGTACGAAATACGTAAACAAGTATATTTGATTATTACTTTATTAGTACTGATATTTGATATTTGATTTGATATAATTTTTTGTAAATACAAGTATTTGTTTAATGTATAAAAAATGACTGTATTGAATTTAATGTAGGTATAAATAAAAAAAAAAAAAATGTGCTGTTGCATTATTCTATCGTCGAAGGTCTGTCTAGACACTGACAGATATAGATAAAAAAAAGTATATATTTTAATGTTAGGTATTTGGAGATTGTCTTAGACCCGTCAAAATAATTGGTATTATATTAATATGATGTTCAAAAAAAATATTAAAAAAATATTATTTTATTTAAGTTTTTCAAATTTATTTTATTTTATTATCAAGTTACCAATTTAAAACATTTTAGTATTGGTAACAATGAACATGGACCTTCATTTAATATTTTTGAAAATACCCAAACTCAAACTTGTAAAAATTATTGTATGTGTGTATATGTTAGCGTTAATGTATGAAATTCCGTAATTCTATTGAATAACTAGTTATTTTATAAAATTACGGGTACTTTCAGTTAATGTATTGAATGAATCCATAAATATATACTTCAACTAGTTATTCTACATACCAACTAGATATTTTATAAACTAACAATAATGGTTTAGTTAATGTATTTAAAACTATTATTGAATAAAAGTTTTAATCAAATTACAAATTACAAACAAAATCAAATGTTATAGTATTAAGTCAAACAAGCCTTACAATATTATATAAAATATTAATATAAATTTATTAGAATAATTATTAAAATCTTAATCAATTTACAAATTAAAAACTCAAATATTATAGTATAAGTCAAACACACATTACATTATTATATAAAATATTAATATTAATTTTTTTTTTAAATTTACAATTTATTTATTAGTACAGGAACTTTTTGGGTGGCATTTAGAATTACAAAGTAAATTATTTTTTAAACATATGCACCGTTTTGTGGTGCACTTTTGTTGGCATGTACATTTAAAAAACCCTTGTCCATTACCAAGTGATTGGGATTCGGATGCTTTTCGAAGGCAAATATCTCCATCTGGAACGTCACTAAGCGTAATAAACTTTTCTATGCATAAACTAAATTGTGACCTCGCGTAAAGTTGTTTTAGTGTACCGTATTTAGTTCCTAAAACAAAATTATTTGAATTATTAAAAAAAAAAAAAAAAAAATTATAAATAAAAAAAATTACCTAAGCGATAAAATCCGTCGGTTGTTTTTTCTAATACAATAGCAATTATAGATTGTGGATCACATTTTGACCTGTCAACATCTGGAATTTTGACTCGTACGTTACATCCTTGAAGAGCAGGTGGATGAGACATATCTGATTGTAGTTTCATTCTTTTAGCTTGACGTTCTAAGCATTCTTTTGCTTCTTCTCTTTTATTGGAAATATTTTCTTTATTTATGCAAAGTTGACACAATTCTTCCTCGGTATTCCCTTCATTTTCCATAAATATATGTTTGCATATTTTACAGTTATTTTTCTCTAAATCTTTGTTAATTTTATTATTTAAACTTTTGTCTGTATTCAAAACTTTCAAAATATTGTCTGGAGTATTTGAAGAAATTCCTACTTTTGGGGAACATCCGAACATAGCTTCATAAGGACTTCGTCCTATCCCCCTATGAAAAGCTTTATTTTTCATAAATTGAATAAACCTTAGCCCTTCACTCCATTTTGTTGTGTTGTTGTCCTTCATCCAGGTAATTATCATATTCTCTATATCTTGATTTGCCCTCTCCACTGATCCTTGGGACTGACTGTGGCGAGGTTTGCCATGAATAATAGATAATTCAGGCCACATTTCTTTTAATGAATCTATTGTTTGGTTTCTGAATTCACGACCGTTGTCACTTTGTAGTACACTTGGAGCACCGAACACCGTAAAAATATCTATGAGACAATATGCTACTTCTTCAGCTCTTTTCGATTTTAATGGTTTTAAAATACAAAATTTAGTCAAATGATCTTGATACACCAACACAAATTTATATTCACCATCAGCTTGACTTTGATAATCAATAAGATCTAATTGACATCTACTATTTAATTCAGAAAAAATCATAGGATTTGTCACGATACCTTTTTTTTCACTTTTTTGTTTTTTTACACATGATTCACATAAATTTAAAAAAATTTTGACGTTTGATTGAGTAATATTTTTATATTTTTTTTTCAGTTCATACATCATTCTGTCTCTACCACCATGTCCAATAGATAGGTGAATGTTAAGTAAAATATCATATAATTCTTCGTCGTGGACGTAAAATATAATATCAGAATTTTCTTTCATTGGACGTATAAGTTTTTCATTACCCTGCACTTCTATCACATCATACCGTTGTACTAACCAATAATCACGTGGCGATTCTTTTTTTCCTGTTTTAATACGTTTCACTTCACTTATTAAGGAATCATATTTTTCTTTCAGCAAAAACGTGCTGTTATTACGTTCTGTTGTTGTATTTTTTATAATTGTATCAAATTTGGTTTTCATTTTAAAGCACACTTATTAGTTATTACACTATACAACACTAAAAATAATTAAACTAACTAGTAAGTAAACTCGCAGTACACTGTCACACGAATAAGTCTAGTCTATGCCAAATGGTGTGGTTCAATACTATCTTATCTTATTATTTTTATTAATAACAACAACGGTAACAAATTTTGTATGTTATCTAATCCAGTCCCGGTCATATCTACCTAATGATATAAATTTCATACATTAACGAAAACCCAATCGGTATTTTATATATTAACTAGTAAAACCGTGTAATTTATATATTAACGAACATATTTAGGAATTTTATAGAATAACTAGTTATTTAATAAAATAACGTATTACATACATTACCGCTAACATATATATGACTATTGCCAATCTTTGATTATTATTTTAAAATCAATACAAATAAATAATATACAACACAAAATAATATAGAGTACGTAGGTTTCACAAAACAAATATTTTATATATATGTGTAAGATTAGCGAAAAGTGGCAAAATGTGTCGATGGCACCGACGTACATATAATTTTACGGACGCCGTAAAGCTTACTCAGATCATGGAAAGTCGTCAAAATTAGTCGTAATACAAATGGGTTTAAAATTATATTAAGTTATACAATCTGGATAATTCGAGCAACTGGTGCGCATATAGGTATCTGATGTGTGCAAAAAGTTTGGGGAAATTTAATAACTTACGACTTAGAACAACTACGACAAGAACCGAAGAACAATGTTATAACAATAATGTAACAACTACATGGATGGAATAATTATGCAGTGTGGCCGCGAGGAGAGTCATATTAATATTGTGGTACGAGACCTTTGAGAAATTTGGTTTTTTACCAGAACTATCATTCTACAAAATATTACATCAAATGTATTGTAATAACATTATAATATACCTTGAGTACCTACTCTAAACTACCAGGTATAAGAAACGATTGCTATTAATCTCACTTTAAAATGTGTGAAATACTATAATCACAGGGAGGATGACTAAAAGTTTGTCAAGTACGCATCTCATCACTTAATTAAACACGCATATAATATGATACTCATACTTAGGCACACTAATGTATAATAAAGTATCCGGGAGTCTACGCATTTAGTTTGCATATTATAAATGCTAGACATTGATTAAGACATTGTATTAGAGACAAAATATAATACATCAAGAAAAATACTACATTTTGGCAAAATATCGTGTCAAAGTGTTTTAAATGTATAATTTTTAAAAAGCGTTCAATATTTATAAAAATATACATAGGTGTATATTGCATAATCGTTATTATCACTCACGAAAACAACATTTTTAATTTTGTGTTCATTTGTATTATAATACTCCAAACTCGTATATAAAAACCAGATGCTCGCAAATGGACAACAACAGATACATAAGTTTAGAAGAATGGATTTACCAAGCGTAATGTTCGGTACACATTATAATAATATACCATATCGGTACCTACCCATACCTACATTGTTACAGACACAATGAGAATAATACCGGTATTAAGTACATTATATAGTTGTTTGGTAAAATGTCGAAAAACAAGCAATATATACATATGGATGAAATCGCATACTCTATATATAGTTGCCAGTTGGGTACATTAAAATAAATACATTATGAATAATACCCAATGTAAAACAAATAAAGTAATAAAGACCAAAAATCACAATAAAAATGTGTATCTTTATCGTGATTATTAGAAATTATATAACATACAGAATTCCTATCGACTTTGTACGTTCATCTGTCCGACTTTTAAGCTTCAATGATTATTGATATGCGTACCGACTCCGGAATGATTACCTTTTAAAATTATATTCTATTAAGTAGACTCACACGAGTGTTCATGTATATTTGATCAAAATTGAAATTGTAAATTACTGGGCAATATTTTGGGTAGATGTTAAGCAATATCACTTTCGAACATTAAGAACTTTATACTTGGGCATAGGTAGGTACAATAATACTTAGCAATGAAAAATATTCTACATTTCTAACATTCAGTTGGAATATATTTTACACACGATGAGACATGAAAATGAACAATTAAAAATAACAACCTAGATTAATTTCATTATTGAAAAAAAAATGTTTAATAAAGAAAATATTCCTTGTCTATGAGTGCTTTCTAACTTCTAAACATCACATTTAATTACCTACCTATCATGACGTATAGTTGCAAAGAAGTTAAAATTATCTGATAATGTCGTGAGAAAAAACATTTTTGTAGGTAGGTGCCTATTATATTATCGTACTTTCGTAGCCATACAAAAGTAAATTGTAAGAAAATTAAAAAAAAATCTATTGATATAAAAACCTAATTATTGATAACAATTTTCATATAACATAATATTATATTTCAACTTGTATTTTATCTGAATGAGTAAATAATTACTTTGATATCGAACGCGTATAATTAACTTGGACCATAGATTTATCAACTAGAAATGCTTACTAGTTACTATATTATAAACTGTATAGATCTGGAAACTAAAAGATTAAAATTAGGTTTCAATTGTTTATTCAAACAAATCGTCTACCCTGTGGGCTGTGACTAATACACATACAATTATGTAACTAATTAACAAATGTGCACTGCAGTACTAGAATTTATTTTTATTAAATCAAAAAAAACAAGTGTATATATAACATTTCAGTCTAACTAATTTTTGTATAATAGATTCACATTGACATTTGAACTAACAATAGATGGAAATAAATGTAACATTATCGTCAATCAATATGTCATACAAATTTTGTATCAGATAATATTATGAAAAAGCTTTGTTTACGAATTCCAATTCGATTTATTTTATTTTAAAACCAAAGTTTTATTATCAGAACAATAGGGCATCGTAATTGCGATAGTACAAAGTTATAAATTATTAAACATTTTATTTACTTTATACAAAGTATATTCAAAAGAGAATACTAGTGTATACTAACACTGCTAACGGATAATTAATTAATAATCTATAAAATATACTAAACATATTATAATCATGTGTCAGTCATTATTCTAAAAAATACATATTATATTTAATTTTACAAGAATTAAATTTTATTTTAAATCCTATTTTTCTGTAATAAGGCTTCCTGCTTTTTGGATTTGTGACATTTCTTGAAGGGCCCTTTAAAGTCATGAGCCCGTTGCTCATTGCCCTTCATGCCATCCTATCAGTACTCCACTGAGTGAGCTGGTAGAAGTGATTATGGATGGACGGATAATTTGAAAAGTGTTGCTGTAAGCCGGAGTTTTTTAACCAAAAAAATTAATTTTTTAGTATAAGTACTGTTTGGTATCAACTTACTGTTTATTTATTTTAAAGTAAATTTGGTTTATACATACAAATATAGTTTCTTTTATGTTGTCCGTACAATACTTTTTAATTTTAAGTAATTGGCTAAATTAAAAAAAAATAAATACGATATAGATTTTAGTCATAATGCAACAATGGACAAGTGCTTATGTGAAAAGAAATATGATTATTTTTAATCCAACAATACTAATAAGAAATTATTGTTGGATCCTTTTGAGTTGTAACCATGTTTTTAATTATGACACTTTTAATCATATATATTATTTATTTATAAAATAAACTGAAATAACTACCATGAAGTGTCATCCTTTTATCAAATTTTTATCTATATTCTTTTTTATCCAAAAATAATGTGTATTAGGGTGCGGAATCATTATATTTCACCAATTCCTTTATTAAATAATATGTACACGATAGTAAAAAAAAAAAATGGAAAAGCTGTCCGTTTCTTTCAAACCCGACGAGCTTGCACGCCGCAGACAATAATATCGTAATAATATTATTTGAATTATATACGAGATATTTTCCTGCTCGATATTACGGTGGTATTATCTTCGATGAGGCGACAGGCGGCAAAAGTGTCCACAGACCCCGGCGAGGCGGCGAAACGTGTGCGACTGTAATTGACAGTAGCCATATTATCTCCTAAACAATATATAATAATACCATCGTGTGATTGTATATATAGGTTATTCTTATTATTTTTTTTCACTCTGCAGGGACGGGTGTCTAGGATTGATACATAAAAAAAAAACAGAAGCACACGATGACACTTCCAATTCGAAATGTTATTACTACGTCACAAATATTATTTGTCATTACTATATTATTATATGCGTGCGTATAATGATAAATATGATACGTTTATTTATTTATTATTAATTTAACGAATATAGGTAATGATATTAATATGTCCATTGTCCTCATGCGGTATAGATCTCACGGAAATAGTAATATGATCACAAGCTCTAATATAAAATATAAGAACGGTACAGAAATATAGACGATGTGAAAATCAACAGGTATTAAAAATTGTATACGGAATAGAACAATAAGCTAAGGGAGAAAATTATAAAAAAAAAAAACAGAAAACTATACTTGGGGCTAGATATTATAATCAAAAGTAAAACATCCGTCACTGGTGCATTTCTGTGCGTAACATTAATCTTGGAACACCATAAAACCGCTGGTTTTATTTTATAACAATAACATAGCAGGAGACGTAAGCAAGCTTTTTATTAGCAGTCAGCTAAGACCTAATCAGTAGATGGCCAAAGACGTGAAGAAAGAAATCTAAGCACGAGTGATTGTTGACCAAATGCTATACATAGATCGTTTCAAATCATAAAAACGGTTTTACTTTATTATTTATCAATGTATTGCACATTAAAATATTATGGATTTCATTGTATAATATGAAAACGCTGCAAGGCCATCCCATACCTTCATATAATATTATCTTCTAAAATAATGATATTATTATTGTTAGTGGTACCTAGCATTGATGGTATATTTTATTCCGGGGGACGGAGTGGCCGAGTGGATAACGCGTCGGTTGCAACGCGCACCGTCGCCGGTTCGAACCTCGGTCACGGGCGGCACTTCTCTCCGGGCAATCACTGTGTCCGGAGAGAGAGGCCGCCATCCCCCAACCGGGCATGGCAGAAACCTACGGGTGTCCACTAGAAATTCTGCCAAACAAACACACACGTGTTCCATAACCCTACTTTATCAAAAATCCCTACAGTTCCAAAACCCTACAGTACCACAACCTACAGCTAATGGTCTCAGTTGTCGAAGCTTAAATAAATAAAACAAAAATATTTTATTCTGTTACATATGGGTAATAATAAGTAGTCCTCATAAAGTTCTCTTGGAGTTTTGTTATCCACCCCCACATGATTTATCATCGACTATAACCTTAGTCTTCGCTAACCAAGTCCACTCGAGCGACAATCGAGCACAACAAACGGATCACTTTCTTATAATAATATAGTTATAGGAACGGTAAACTATTTAAATATAATAATGATACAATTCAATTTAGTGGACAATTACTGAAAATAATATTGCATATACGTAATAGTTGTAATTATTAGACGATAACTACTTAATTTTGGCTAACTATACAGATTGCAGGTGGGTTTTATATTTAATTCTGTTTTCAATGATGCTATTATTACATTTTTTCCGAATGTAAATCTCACCAAATTATTTCAAAGAGTCTATATGCATTAAACCGTCTAATCATAGCAAAATTGATTATGCTGTCACAATTTATCTCGCACGCGTAGATAACTGTTATTGTCTGTTTATTATTTAGTGTCATTTGAGTTTTATTATGATTTATGACTTAAAATGAATTTAGGTAATATCAATCTGAAACTTATAATATTTATTCAGACCTACCTCATTTTATTTTAATAAATTATTCAAATGTTATTTTATAATGCTTAAATATATATATTTTTTATGATTGAAATTTGATGTTTAAAAAATTATACAATGCTGAGGCATCTCTTATAAAACTTTGCATCTAAAAAGATACTATATATATGTTGCATCACTTATAACGTTGTATCTATACAAACATAAAATGTTCAGTAGCCTCGTGTCTACCGATAAACCTGAAATATACATCATCATTTTAAAATATAACTAATTATATAAACATAAAAAATTAATTTTTTATTAGATAAATAGGAAGCAATTTTATTAGGTCTCGAAACCGACTGACTTCATCAGATTATCACATTTCTTAAGTTAAAGATGGGTTGGACTATCTTTACTATAATAATCAAATAAATCCAAGCCGGTAATATTCTATAACCTAGGTACTTACTTCATATCCACCAAGTTGTGTTTCCAAAGGATATCGATAATTTTCTCATAATTGATGAGTTAGGGGGACGGAGTGGCCGAGTGGATAACGCGTCGGTTGCAACGCGCACCGTCGTCGGTTCGAACCTCGGTCGCGGGCGGCATTTCTCTCCAGGCAGTCACGGTGTCTGGAGAGAGAAGCCGCCATCCCCCGACCGGGCATGACAGAAACCTACGGGTGTCCACTAGAAATTCTGCCAAACAAACACTGAAACACACGTGTTCCATAACCCTACAGCACCACAACCTACATCTAATGGCCTCAGTTGCCGAAGCTTAAAAAAAAAAAAATAATTGCTGTTTAGACTTAGAGACTAAAATTATCATATTTTATCATCCAATTACAATGAAATTATTGGAAATACTAAGTTCTACTATTCCGATGAAGTACCTAATACAAAAATGTAAAAGGTTTTAAATTGTTCATGGAATTTTAGTTTATTGCATTGTATAATATTAAAAGATAGGAACGTCTCGAGAACCTGGAATTTAGCGCGCTCGCTTTTCTAACTTGTTTAATTCCTTAAGACAATTATTTAAATTCTTAAATTAATATTTTAAATAAAAATCATTAATCAATAAGTTAATATTTATTTTATATCCGATGTGCAAGAACAACAAACAACGATTTTGTTGCTATGGGACACTAAGTGTTTGATATAAATTGTATATGTTCTAATCGTCATAACCCATATGCTTGTATGCTTGTCGCAATGAGCGCATCTAAAAATGTATAACATTATTATTTACTGACTTACTGTTCATAAAAGTCGCAACTCACTTTTATATTATAACTGACTTTCAACTTTCGTAATTTATTAAATTACTTTAGTTAGGTAATCATTATAATGGCAGGAAAAAATATCGTATCGGTTGAGATGAATAAAACCGAAACCGAAATTATGAAACAGGTGTTTGCGGATTTGCGGTCCAATCGTCCGAAAATGTGGACCAATCGTGGTGTGGCAAATTCTCCGATCCGTGCAGGATGTCGATCGAGGCCCAACTTGACAGTGTTGGAAACAGGTTCCGCTGTCCCTGTTGAGTCGTGTGTGCCGGCGAACAGCTCACTGTCCACCGACACAACAAATCCTGTAGTCGATCCTCTGACAGACAGCATCCCGATCGAACTGGCGAGTCACACGAGTCCAACGTTCCTTTATTACTTAGGATTTATGGCGCCTGCAGCCCTCGATACAGTTCTAGCGTCGTCTGCACAGGTTCGACCAGCGCCAGAAACTCGTGCGGTCTCAATGCCAAACATGGCCGTGTTGCAGTTCGGTGTAGTAGAAACCGCATTCGAATCGACGAGTGTGGTCGAGTTGATAGATGGCTGCCTAAGTTGGCTGTCCACGAGACGACTGCAAGTTTGTGGGATCCGGAAACCGGGGACGGTTGCAGCGATGGTGATGCGACAAAGGATCAGACGAAAGCCTGCAGCGAGATAATGCCCAGACGACGCCCGTTAGTTTTGGAGCCGTACAAAGAGGTTCGCCGGTCTGATGTTTTGCTGTGGCTGTATGCCCCGCCGCGATTAAGGTTATATCTTCAATCGTGATATAGCCCAATAAATTCCGACTATAATAATGTGTCCCCTCCCCTCCCCCTTGTCGAGCCTGTGTCCTGCAACGATTGGCCAACGCACCAAGTCTGTGCAAGGCAATCAGTCAAATTTGTTGCTGGACATTTCGAATTTCGAATATCTATGCAAGTTCACACACTGTTTCACACTGGCCGACGTTTATCGAGCCGTTTTTTTGCACTTTACGGCCATCTGTGCCCGCGTGCCTCTATCGGCTCTTTGCCGTGTCTAGCAGTGATAAATTAAGAATATATAATAATTGTTTACAAACTCAAATGAAAACTCGTGTTCCAATAAATTATTAAAATAAATAAACTATTGTGTATAAATGTCAAGCTTATTTGAAAAATAATTCAAATTTAAAAATCAATATAACTTTTAAAATTTTAAAGTACGACGAAATTGTAAATATGAGAGGTTATAATAAAATTGCGTGTAACGTGGGGTTTGTTCAAAACGGTTTTTGACCTTTTGTACATACTACAAAATAAATATTATCTCCAATGTGTAGGTGCAGAGTAGTCTCCTGTTTAATTAAAAAAAACATCGTTATCGTACTTTTAAATTGATGATTTTAAATTGTTTTAAAATCTTGTCACAAAAAAGTATTAGAAAGAAATTAATGAAGAAAATGGCTCTGAAACCGTAAATAGTTGAATAGTAGTTATTAATTTATTATATAATATATTGATTACTGATGAAAACCTTTTTGAAGTTAAGTTCTTATAATATACTAGCTGAATTACCCAGTTTCGCCCGCGTGTGTAGTTGATTTTTTTTCATATTTACAATATATCCCTATAACTTCTCGGAACAATTCTTGTTTAAAATCAATCATTACATTGATTACAAATATAAGGTTTTATCAAAATATGTCTTAAGTTGTCGTGGTATTGAAGGTCTTGTCTACAAAAAAATGTTAAAAGACATTTTGAACAATGAACTGTGGTGTAATCTTCGTTGTGTGTCTAATTTTCCTATGAGTCGTGGTAAATTGACTACCACATATTATATTACAAGAATACTTCACTTTTAGATAATGCACAGTGTTGATGTGTCTTTATAGGGTATCCTTTCTGTTGAAAACCCGATCACAAAATTCGTGTGAATGAATCGGGACCATATGAGATGCGATGTGTCTAGCTAGCCGATATTTGTATAAAAACATTTGTCCA